GATCCAGTTACAACCCCCCCCCTCACGTGCCAAATTTCGAAAAACATTAATTTCAGCACTGCTATCTGTAATTCTGTATACAAGTAAAACATATTAAAAGAAATTTATTGGTGCAAAGAAAACTCTAATCACACGAATAGTTTCGGAGATAGGCGAGAATCAAAAGGAACCTCAATTGTTTAGTTACAAAACGACCCACCTATACGTGCCAATTTTTGAGAAATATTAGTTTCAGCACTGCTAACTCTAATTCTATATACAAATAAAACACATTAAAAGAAATTGATTGGTGCAAAGCAAACTCCAATCAGACATATAGAGTCCGAGATAGACGCGAAACAAAAAGAACCTCGTCGGATCAAGTTACAAAACGACCCCCCCTTACGGGCCAAATTTCGAAAAATATTAATTTCAGCACTGCCAAGTCTAATTCTGTATACAAGTAAAACTCAATAAAAGAAATTGATTGGTGCAATGCAAACTCCAATCAGACGAATAGTTTTCTAGATATATCCGTATACAAGTAGATCATGTTAAGAGGAACTAAAAGCTGCAAACCAGACCTCTCTCAGACGATTACTTTCAGAGATAGACGAGAAACAAAATAGAGCTTCCAATGATCAAGTACAACATACCTGCCCATTACGTGACCAATTTAGAAAAATATTAATTTCGGGGCTTTCATCGTAAATTCTGTATACGAGTAGAACATGTTAAGAGAAAGAAAAAGCGGCAAAACAGGCCTCTCTTAGACGATTAATTTCGGAGATAGATGAGGAATTAAACAGACCTTAGATTGATCAAGTACAACAAACCCCCACATTACGTGACAAATTTGGAAAAATATTAATTTCGGCGCTCTCATAGTAAATTCTGTATGCAAGTAGAACATGTTATGAGAAATGAAAAGCAAAAAATCAGACCTCACTCGGACGATTACTTTCCGAGATAGACGAGAAACAAAATAGAGATTCAAATGATCAAGTACAACAAACCCCCTCAATACGTAGACAATTTTACAAAAATATTAATTTCGGCGCATTCATCGTATATTCTGTATACAAGTAGAACCCGTTAAGACAAATGGAAAGAGTCAAACCAGACCTCCCTCAGACGACTACTTTCAAGAGAGTCGAGAAACAAAATTGAGCTTCGAATGATCAAGTACAACTAACCCCCCACCCTATTACGTGACAAATTTAGAAAAATATTAATTTGGGAGCTTTCATCGTTTATTCTGTACACAAGTAGAACACGTTAAGAGAAATGAAAAGTTGAAAACCAGACCTTTCTCAGACGATTACTTTCGGAGATAAACGAGAGAAAAAAAACGACCTTAGAATGATCAAGTACAATGTACCCCATTACGTGACAAAATTAGAAAAAATATTAATTTCGGTGCTTCCATCGTAAATTCTGAATACAAGTAGAACACGTTAAGAGAAATGAAAAGCTGAAAACCAGACCTCCCTCAGACGATTACTTTCCGAGATAGACGAGAAATAAAATAGAGATTCGAATGATCAAGTACAACAAACCCCGCCATTACGTGACAAAAATCGACAAATATAAATATCGTCGCTTGAAATTTAAATTCACTGTACAAGTAGAACACGTTAAGAGAAATTAAAAGCTGCAAAACAGACTCCTGTCATACGATTACTTTCGGAGATAGATGAGATACCAAACAGAGCTTCAAATTATCAAGTACAACATACCATCCTATTAAGTGACATATTTCGAAAAATTTAAATTTCGTCGCTTCCATCATAAATTCTCTGTACAAGTAGAACACGTTAAGAGAAATTAAAAGTTGCAAACCAGACTCCTGTCTTAAGAATACTTTCGGAGATAGACGAGAAACCAAACAGAGCTTCGAATGATGAAGTACAACATTCCCCCAATTACGTGGCAAATTTAAAAAAAATATTTATTTCGGTGTTCCTATATAAAATTCTGCATACTAGTCTTCAATCGGAGGAATACTTTTCGAAATAGGCGAAAACCAAAAGGGAGCCTCGAGTGATCAAGTATAAAGTACCACCCCTTTACATGACAAATGTCAAAAAATATTAATTTCGGCGCTTCCATCTGAAATTCTGTATACAAGTAGAACACTTTACGAGAAATTTAAAGCTTCAAACAAGACTCCAATCGGACGAACAGTTTCGGAGATAGACGAGAAACAAACGGCAGTTCTAGTGTTCAAGTACAACCCCAATACAATTAAGTACAAGATCACATTATGTGACAAATTTCGAAAAATTATAATTTCGGCGCTCTCATCTGAAATTCGGCGTATAAGTACAATAATTAAGAGAAATTGAAAGGTGCAAACCAGTGTCCGATAAGTCGTATAGTTTCGATGATAGGCGAGAAACAAAACAGAGTTATCGAGTAAATGTACCCCCCCCCATTACGGGACTAATTTGGAAAAATATTAATTTCGGTGCTTCCATCTGAAATTCAGCGTTAAGTAAACGTTAAGAGAAATTCAAAGGTGCAAACCTTACTACAATCAGACGAATATTTTCTGAGATAGACGAGAAACAAAACGGAGCCTCGAGTGTTCAAGTAGAAAATACCTCCTCTTCCCATTAAGTGACATATTTGAAACTATAACTTTGGCGCTTTTATCTAAAATTCTGTGTATAAGTACACCACTTTAAGAGAAATTCAAAGGTGCAAATGAGACTTTAATTAGAATGTGTGAGGTCGGTCTTCGTGGAGGCCATATGGGAAGTTCGTGGTTTCATGTCCAATCTAGCGATATGGGAACAATTTAATCCTGTGCGTGCACTCAGCGACCGGGGGGGGGGCTCCGTCAAAGCTCCACTTGAAGACTGACTATGTCTGCTAACCCTTTAGTTGATTCCAGGAGGAACCATTTGCATTGAACCATGCTAGTTTATTCGCGGCTGTTTTTCGAAACATACAGCATTGTATTTCGAGATGTCTGTCATACTCTTCGTGTGGCGACGATTGTTAACCCATACAGCAGCCACCAAGCGCTCACTAACTCTTGAATCCACCATTGTTCTTACTCGACTAAACGAAGTGGATCATTCCCAACCAGACTACCACAGCTGAAGTGAACAGGAATCAGCCTATTCTGGGAATCCGCAACTCAACAAAGTGTAATAATGCTAAAAATAACGAAAATATATCACATATCAACAAAAATATTAATAACAAAGTGACTTCTGTATAATACGAACTTGCCGTTTACATCCAAAGAGAATCTCCCATCCTGTGTATGAGGAAAAGTATTGGAAACACCTGAGCAATACATTCTGAAATTTCTGACATAAAATCCATGTTGAAGGTTCTATTGTGTAGTAACTTTGCTCACACGTCAGTATTACTATTTTTTGCTGCTGTTCCAAAGATGGATAAGATTGATGCAGGTGGCGAAGAGATGCGCGCAATTATGCTCCCGAAAATACGGATGGTTGTAACTTGTCACGAATTACTGCCAAATGAACTTTTGTGGCGAAACTTGGTAAAAATGTCAATATGTAATGAGTAATGTTGGTTTGCTTTTAATTTTTTTTCTTAAGATTATGATTTTGTATTTTGAGGGGTAGATACTTTACTTCCTTTTTTTTCCTTTACGTTTTTGCTGGAATAGAAGAGTGCAATTGATAAGGGGATAATAAAAATGGTATTGTTCTAATTTTCATTAAAACCTAAGAAATTCTGAATATTGCAAAGTTAAAATTTATTTTAGAACCTGTCCCATACCTTGAATTTTTAAGTCAGTTTCATTTTCAAGGAAATGTATACCTCAATTTTAGATTTTTAAATGATGCCATGAACTTTTTTTTTTTGAAGATATGAGTTGTTGATACCTCTAGCCTTGTGACATTAAGAGAACAAAAAGTTTTGTTAATCCACTCATTTCCATTAGTTTTTTCCTAATAAAAACTCTGCAAATCTGAATACTACAAGGCAGTGGGTATCTCTTCTTGTCAAACTACTGTTAGAGGTTTTAAACTACCTCAATAGGTGAAGCCTAAATCACTGTATCCAAGATACATATATGTTGAAAGTACACCACTTTCCCCTACATTTTACATGATTTGAAATGTTGAAGTATATTCTAAAGCGAAGTTATTTAATGTAACACAATAAATATATCACACACATAAAAATATAAGTATCAGCATATTTACTTGATCAAATATACACTGAGAATACCATTTCTTTAATGTACACATTTTATTTAATCCAGGTGTGGATCTAGAGAAGGAAATGATGGAAATTCCACTGCCTAAAATTTTTCAGTAACAAAATGTTTTTACAGAACTAGAAAAATAGATATATGTATTGATAGATAGATAGTATTTCCTTACTTGATAAAAAAATTCACATGCTTGTAATATGAAATGTATTGAATTGTTAATTGTTATAAATTGTTAAAAGACAATGTAAAGAAGTACTGTCATTTAATCAATTATGTACATTTTATTATAATGTAAAGTTGTAAAAGAGATTTTGATCACTCATGACTAAGCATTTGCACAGAAATCTAAAATAAATTAAATAAAAAAATACCAAGCAGAGTGGTTCAGTGCGTAGCGTACTGGATTCACTATCGGGAGGTCTGGGTTCGATCCCCGTCTGGCCCTCCTGAGTGGGGTTTCGTGGTTCCCTTCAGTCACAAAGCGAATGCTGGAATGGAGCCAAAAATCCCACGAACACCTCCAACCAACGTTCATCCTTTCACCCCTTTTCATCACCCTATAACAATAATAATAATAATATCATCCTATCCCCTCCTAATTAATTGATATTCAAGGTTAACAACCTTGTCTTGACCAAGGCATGCATCCAAAAAGCTGATCCCCAAAATTCTACATGTTGATCTCTCCAGGATAGAATACAACTGGGCCATGGAGAGAGAAATGTGTTGTGTAGCGAGTACTGGCCCACACATTTTTTAGCAATACACCATTAATAATAAATAAAAAATAATAATAAATATGGTTAATTATATAGATTTGCCTCTTAATTGTTCTGCAAAGTAGGTAGTACATGCAAATGTATAACATTCTCTAAATGACAAATAAAGATGAAGATACAGCATTATAAATATATTTGGTTCATACAGGCATATGTTATATTAGAACACCTACTCTCACTAATATATTTCAATTGCAGTTAAATTAATCATATTTTTTATAGTAGGACCTTTTGATAGAAAAAATAATAAATTGAAAAGATTAAAATACAATAATTAAAGAATTCAAATAAAATTTTACCTTTGTATAGTATAATCTTTAAAAAAACTTAATATGTTTGTAACGTAATGTACTTCAGATTTGCAGACAATAATCCCATCTCGATCAGGTTCTCGTCCTGTTACCCTGACCTTTTGAGCAAATGCTGAGGTTGCTCCTTGTTTTGCTTCTGAACAAAAATGTAGCTTCATTACGTGTATGTTTCATTGAGCTCTGTTTTTCTTTGTAGTGGTAGGAGTAGAGAAGGGGCCAAATTACTATTTTGTTAATTATGCACAAAAAATCAAATATCCTGTTTGTTTACTGATGTAAGTAAGTTTTCTATAATTTGGGAATGAAAATGGCTCACACTTTTTAAATTTTATGTTATCATTATAATTTTATTTTTTAAACTTTTATTCATCTTTCAATTATTTATGTTTAAAATGTTGGGAAGGAATTCTGGAGCTCAAGAGAACTTGCAGATGAAATTCTCCCTCATACTTCACATACAGTTTTTTCTACTGTTCTTTGACTAAATAAATCAAATTAAATATGACCAAATATGACCATATAAGCACGACCATTGAAGAATAAAGAATTAAAAATCTGTTCTTGGGATTTGTCAATGTGGTTAGAGAAACTAGTAGTTACGCCAATGTTTCGAAATATATAATTTCTTCATAAGGGCTACAGTGTAAACAATGAACAGTGCATGAGCACAACATACATTACAATAAATTGATTGTTGAATAATTAACACAAATAAAACCAAAACAAATTTAAAAATATAAACTAGGATACATAAAACACCACAAATATATAGGAAGTACACACCTTACTAATAATCATACAGGTAACGTCTCATTTCATGCTCCACACCCAACCCCACATGTAGTTGCTAGAGCACGTGGGTCCATCGCGAGACTCCCAACTCACTATTGTCTTGCAATGGACCCACGTACTCTAGCAATTCCATGTTGAGTTAGAGGCTGGAAATGAGATGTCCAATACCGTGAACAGATTTTTAATTCTCAAATCAAATATATTTATAATTTTACAAAACTTGATAATCCTTTTTTGAAAGTCCTTTGTGTATAGTAATAATAAGTCTAAATTGTCAATCTGAAACAATGACAGTCCACACATACTATGCTTAGGGCAACCAACTGATAAAGAAAAGTTGTTAAGAAATGAAGACAATTTTCAGACACATTTACAATTTTTGATAACAAATGGTTCTGTATTCTCAAAGGGTTGCTAGATTTCTTGCTCACAAACTCACAGCTGCATACACCTCTTCCACTTTGATTACAGAAAATTCAGACAGTATTGTCAAACTTGAGATGATAAGCATTTCAAAGTAAATACATTTTTAAGGAAAGAAAGAATACCAGATTACAGAAATATGCATTGGTTTATCTTCAAAACTTGCAAGTTACTAAAATTTCAACCTTTCAACCCTGCTAGAGGTTGACTAAAAACAAAAGTTTTCCAGTCAACCTCTAGCAGCCCACTGTTCTTTACAAATACTCAGTGAAGCAAACATTCAAATCTGAGATGGGTAAACAAGGCAATTGCTCATGGAACCAGAAGTTAACAATTTTTTGACCCCTGGTCCATTAAATCTATAGGATTTTGAAAAATGCATGTCAAATCTTTGATGTTTCTTGTCATGAACAGAGGTGACCCTCAAGAGCAATGGACATTTATTTAGTTTGGTCATCCACATTTTAAAATGCTAACAGTTTAATCAATTAGTCTTTAAGTGCCACCACCATTTCTCTTTCAGCATCCTTTTGCTCCTCTTACCTATTTCAATGAAGTTCCCAAAGAGAAAATAAATCACTAATTTCAATCATAGAAATGTAATAATATTTAAAATAAAATATGTGTAAATATCTAAAAAGCTTTCAACATGAAAATAATATGCCTTCGGAAATTGTCTTCCTATACACCAGTTTACCTATATGCTTTTAATCTAAAGGGAAACCTTGATAAACTCAAAATACATCCCTACCCAAACAAATTGACACATTGCTGTCACTGAATAGGAACAAGTTCAAAGAACAGTCAAACTCTTCCTGTTACAAGCCTAAATAATGCTTGAATGAAATGTTTTTTTCTGATGGTTGTATATTGTTTTCACTCTTCCCCATTAATAAGGCTACATCTATCACTATTTTAGACATTTTCATACCCATTAGTTTTTCAACCCCTAATTTTAGAGAAAAAATCTTTAGGATAAAAAACTACTTATTTTCATAAAGCTTATCTTTCTAATCAATAGCTCAAACATTGGGACAGTTATATGGTAGTTTTCAAAAATCAGTGTTAATGTTTTTGAGAAAAAGAAGCCAGTTGTAGAATTTAGAAATTAGTACTTACCAAAACATACCATCATCCTAAAAAGCAAGATCTCTCAACAATTAATATGAAATATTACAATATCCTTAAATTTTTTTTTATTTGCAGAGAGCGCAATACCTTATTAATTACCATTGCTGTACAAACAAATTATCACATCACAGGCACTCAAAATCAGCTTTCACAATATATTTTACTATCTCGAAACAACCAATTATGCTGACACAAATACTCTTATGCACACTTGCCAAGACACCTTTTCTCAAAGGATTACATGAGCTCATATAAAATAAACATGAATTGGCACATTTCAATTGTTCATATTTAAGCACACAATACAAGTATTATCATAACTAATTCTTATTCAATGTCATTTTCATCTGCATTATCATTAGAAGCTGCACAGTTCGATTCACCATCCTTTTGAAGTTTTTGTTTCACTACAGCATCTTTCTTTTCTTGTTGTATCTTTTTAAAATCTGGAAAATAATAAGGACATAAATTTAATGAAACCTGAAAATTAGAGATTATTAAAGAAAGAGTTGTATTCCATAGAATTCTTCAATTGCAAAAACATGGTAACCTAATTTACAAATGAAAAAAATAGTATGAATAGTTCCAGAGAAATCTCTGGTGCATTGAAACTCTTAGTCATGGGATATGTTTCTTGAGAGAATAAAGCCAAGTGATTCTTAAAACAAAATTTTAAACAAAATTAAATTTTGGGTTTGTTTAATATTAAAGGTCACCACACTTGGTGCAAAACAAGTCTCATCTGGGATACCATGTTCTTGCTTCCAACCCTTCATATATACTCCTTATGCACGAATTAGTTACTTGAAAAAGTGTGTACATATTTATGAATGAATTGCACACAAAATGTATGATTTAAGTACTGAAAATAAATTTTTAACAATTGAAATACAGTTACGATATGACATACCATCATACAGTATGACACAATAAATTTCCCCTTTTATCGCAAGTCACTTAGTAACACACTTAACGTTTGACCAATAATATTTCAAGCAATGATACATTAATGTCATAATACTTACATTCGAGATTTTCTTTCAAATGTTCAACAAACATGTGGAAATCTGTTTCATGCATTGCTTCAATAACATCAAGCCCATTAATGGTTTTTCTGTTGTTTTTCGTCGCCAGTGCATTTGATGCAGACGTTATATACAATACAAAAACAGAAGCAGCTTTCGCCAATGCAGTTCTCGCTTCTTTACCAATTGAAACATTTTCAGGGAGTACTTCCTTCGCAATTCGCGTAACTACCGCATTTGGCAAATTAAGATCATCAAAACTTTGGGCCATGCTTGAAAAAATATTTTTCACTATGCAGAAATAACATTCACCTGTGATTATTCCAATCACAAAATCAAGAACATTATTTTATATAGTGCAGAGCAGACAGTGGAACAGTTTAGTGAGGATATTGCGATAAGCCCGAAACAAAATAATAAAAAGCTAAATAGCGCAACAAGCACCTTTCAAAACACGACTCACACGGCTTGCGTACGGCACAGCAAGATAAGATATGCAAGATATACAGCGTGCTGCGCGCGCAGAATTCCCTGCGCGCGCGACTCGTTGTATGACAGGATGTGTCGTTCGCAAACGAACTTCTATTGAACCAAAAATAGATATAAATACGAAAACTACTCCGGTCTTTTCAAAGCACCTTACTGCCGCGCCTGCGTATCAGGCCTGCATTAATTGAGTGTTATGATGCGTTACGACAAATGCGTTAAAAATCGATACGCGGTACATAGCCTCCAGGGTCGTGTAGAGTCGACTCCGGAGTGTGAGATCCGTCAACAAAAACAAAGAACGAGTGTGTGATCGTGGTTATTCTGTTTCGTACTTCAAATGAAAACCAGGCATGTTCATGAAAAAAAAGTATATGAATATACCAAGAAGTCTGTAAGCCTTACAGGTACAACATGGACAGCCCAAAGATTTTATTATTATTATTATTATTATTATTATTATTATTATTATTATTATTATTATTATTATTATTTGATCGCTCTGACAGAAGACCATAACCTTGTCACCAATTTCGACATGCGTAGCGAAGCCATCGTGCAATAAATTGTTTAAGACCCATTCACAATGCAAATATAAACATAACGCATAGACATAAACATTAACATGCTAATGTCGAAAATCCAAGTATTAGAGAAAGTGAGCATTATTGCTACTGGGCCACGCGGGTCGGCTGATTGATTAGTGACTCCGGGAGCGTCAATTAAGGTATTTACTTTCGTAAGTGGAGAACATGTTTCTATCGCGGGAGGTGGCGGTAATCTGCCCCCGCTGGATGGCCAGATCCACCCTCCCTCCCCCGTCCCACAGCTGCAGCTGGGACATGCTCTAAGCTCCCGCCTGATCTTCCGGTGTGTGGTGTGTAGGGCATGTGTGTGTAAGGGGTGACGATAGGACAAGAAAGAGGTAGAAAAGATTACGCTGTGTGTTAGAGTACCTAAAATTCACATGGTGTTGATCAGAGAACCCATGGAGAACTACCGGTCAGAGCAGCCGGCCACTAGAATTCTTCTCCAGACAGCGACTAAATTCGACCTAACTACGTAGCTCGTGTCGAAAATTCTGCTACCGTCGGGACTCGAACCCTAGGACCTCCCGGTCAGAAGCATTGCAGTGACATCAACTGATGCCCTGAACCACCTCAGCTGGTGCGACGCGGGTTTCTCAATTCGTTCTTTTTACATATTGTGATTTCGTTTTCAAATGCTTGGTTTTCGATCGCGGAACACAGGATTTATATGCGTGGCCCACATCCAACCGGCTGTAACCAGAGCCAAACAGAACGCTCGAATACTCGGTATCTTCAGAGGGCGCTGCTTTGACTAAAAAAGGCTTCAATTTGCAGCAAAGCTGGAGGCCACTTCAGCCACTCTATGTAATAGTATTTATGCAACTTTTCTTGAACAATGGAATGAAGAAATGCGGGTAGAGTGGGGGTATTAGTTACGTAATCAGCCACTAGATTTTATGAAGCAATGTCAATATTTGGAGAATCAGTCGTGCCTTCGCAGATTTCTCAATAATTTGCGTCCTTTCTCAGGAGTTCGAGATATCTCCTGTGATGGATCTTCATCTGCTTCGGACATTTCTTTAGATTTTTTGGAGAAAATCACGTATAAAAGTTTTCAACAGAAAATAATTTCTATTTCGCGCCAGTAAAGACCTGTTTGAAATGTTATCAGTGCACCCTGCGAGCTTTTGTCTTCATCCGTTTATTGGATCACAGAAGGGGAAGCCAGGTCATCGTTCAAGAAATGTTGCACGAGTAATACGTTCTAGCTCGTTGTTCAATATTGTTCAACATAGAGCCTTCGATGAGGCAACCAATCACCAGCTTACAGGTACAGAAAGGTGGGGCATGGAACGTCTTCTTCCATGGGTGGGGGCACAGAACACTAAAGGGAGGGGGTCTGGTCACCCAAAAAGTACCTACTATACATGTATAGTAAGCCCATAGAGTTTTCTGATGAAGTTCGCGCGACGGCCATATTGGTACAAACCAATTCGGCTTTGCCGCGCACTGTTGCTGTGCGAATTGCTGACTTTTATTTCGTATGCAATTAAAGTGCTTCTCGTCTGGCAGAGGGATTGTCTATTGATTGTGGCTGGTGTATTGAAAGTGTAATTGACCATTCTCACTTGTATTGCATCTGGTTGTGCGAAAAACAGGGTGAAAAAACTGCTGGGTGTAACCTTCAACACTAAGTATTGTTTTGCTAATTATTTAAAAATGTGATATTTATATTAAAGTAATGTTTTTTCAGGTTTTCAAAAGATCCGTAAATTCGCGGTAAATGGATTGCGGCTGTGAGAAGAGTGAACTGGACCCCTACGTATTGTTCTACCTTATGTTCAGTGCATTTTAAAAGTGATGACTTTGATCGCACGTCTTTGGCTCGCGTAAGATTAAATACAGGATCTGTCTGTTCCCTAAAGTTTTCCTGCTTTTCCGCAGTATTTGCAACCTTGCAGAGATCTGAACTTTTAATGTATTTTGTTAATATATTTGAGTTTGAATAAATGGTAAAATGTGATGACATGTATGCTATTTATATTGCCCTACAATGCCATTTAACTTAATTAAAGTAATACGAAGTAATACTCATAATTCTACATGTACATTGGGAATTACGAAATACCCAGAATAACATAATAAGTTCCGTATTTTGCTATTATTTCAATATAATATGCTCAAAATTAGCTGTAATCTTAAGGTAAAGGTGTCTACAAATATACGCAAAAAACAGGAAATTGTCTGTCACTATTACATTCAATAGTATTCGATGAGTTTGACCATAGATTTTGTGTCACAGTAGTTTTAAAAACTTTAAGAAATAACTCTGACATTATTTTAAATTTAAAAAGTTTATTTTTCATTACTCAAGAGTTTTTTCTGCAATTATGCAGAAATATTTCTGCATTTTATTACCATAACACTAGCTGTCAAAAGTTTTTTTGGATCGAATATTAAGAGTACTAGTAGAATCTTGCTTGTATTATCGTAATAACCTTTATTATTCTTGAAGTCGTAGGCTTCCGCGGACGGAGTCATGTGAATGATCTTAGCTGTCCTGGTGACGCCGCGTCGAAGGCTGTGTAGCCGACGATTCGACCATCTTATTGTGTTTTTCAGGATTGGTCTGGCCTGAAGAAAACCACGATAAGATGATGTAAACGTCGGTAACACAGCCTTGGTCGCGGCGCCACGCGGACAGCCAAGATCATTGCTTATTAATCTTGCTCTTTATAGAGAACTATCTCAAAGAATAAAGTATTCGTTGTCTAATGAAATTTAAAAAAAAAATAGATTTTGCTTGCCTATAACGCAACTTTTGCCAGGAGGGTTGCACCAATATGGCGACGTGCGCAATTGTGGTGGCTTCTTTGGCATGCCCAGGAAGAGACACGTAGGGGCGACTGTTGTGGTCGCGAGGCGGGCTATGGTGTCCGAGAGGAATAGTAGTTTTCTGTCTTCGTCTGACACTACCTGCAATTTAAATTGTTTGGAGAATTTATTTTCATTTGATGTAAGGTTTGTTGATTCAAAATGTACATTTGATGTCCTTTGTGTGAAGTTGGTCATTCCGGAAGGAAGTCCCTTTTTTGTCTCTCATGGTGTGTGCATCATCCCAGCAGCATTGAGTCTGCGAGCGGTGTAAAAATGAGTGCGTTTGGATATTTTATTATTTCAATGCATATGTAGAAGAATTTTCGAAACACTAATTTCGTGTAAAACGTGTCCCAATAAACTGTTGCAAAGTGCTTGGAGTGCGATCACCGTATTTTCGAAACATTTTTTGGTTTTCTACGTACTCTATTTTTGACAATTGTCTTAATGCATAACTCAGGCAAAGAGTAGCGTCTCCTGGATATAAAGCCAGGACCATGCGCGCGTTATGTGAATATACCTGACATTGATTCTAGGCAAAAGATTATGTAAGAAATGTTTCAATGTTGACTTTTATTGAGAAGAGTTTTAATTAATTTACATGAATTGCTTAATTTTTATTATTTATTAAGTTATGAATTTTTAAAATTAATATGAAATAATTAATTATTTAAATTAATAAAATTCGATAGAACTGCAACACGTCCGTTTGTTGGTCGGCCAGCCGCCACTGCTCCATCTTAGAACGTGCGGATATGGCGCATACGTGCATATTGAGATGTTGCTACTACCCGCGAACTTGTTAATTTCTTGTGTGAGAATAGGAAAAGTTACAGTATATAATGATAAATTGACAAAGAGATATTGCAGAGTCCCTGACACCGAAAAGACATGTTTTGGTTTTTTAAAAAAATATTGAGAATACTACTAGTATCTAACTAAACCATTTAGAGGATTTTTTCCAATTGATCTGTCTATAGGCCCTGCAGACATGAAAGGGATCTTTTAATGTTGAGGGTTTCATTTAAAGCTCATTAGACTCTTTGTAGTAATAATAATAACTATAAAAAGGCTTAATTTTTTTCTTTAGAATTCTTATTTGAATAGAGCATGCACAGTTACAATTATGTAAAACTCACTTTGTTTTTTTTTTTAAAAAAAAGGATAAAAGTTGAACCTTTTCCAAATTTTACTTCACCATCATTGAAGTTACAGAAATTTCATTTTTATTATAATTATTGCTTAATTTTCAATATTAATTTTTTAAATCGCTACATATGATTTTGTCAAAATATTAGTTTTTATGCAATTTTTGCTTAAAAATTATCAAAAATAAACAAGATTTTCTCAAAAATGACAAAAAGATATTGTCAAAAAAACACTGTTCTCACATGATAGACCTCAGAACATGAACAAAGGCAGGTGAGTTGGTTCAGTTCTTGGATGTAAAAATGTCAAAAGTCTAGTGATGACAGTGAACAGAACCTGATGAACAATCACACACTTAACACTAACTGAAATTACATTGTCTAGCTGCTCATAGATTCAATAACACACCATTTCTCTTACTTTTAGAAGTTAAAATCTCCTCACATTTTTCTTGTTACTAATAAACCAAAACATATACAGACTTCAGAAAAAAGAAAACATTCTGACCTTGCAAACTACCAGCACAAATGTGATAGTGTATGGTAGATAATGTGATAGTGTGTGTAGATGAAGGCTTCATGTAATCAGAGTCCATGATGTCTTGGCCGTCTGGGAGAAACTGTCCACCTCGTATCCCATGGAACAAGTATTTGAGTGTGGAAATCCAAAATATGTGAATTCACAATACATTGACTATCTATACTTATACATTCTATTTGTGTAGCATACATAGGCATGCACAGTCTAAAACAAAAAAAGGAAACCAACCACATTTCTGGGTCCCTTTATTTACACATTGCCAATTTTTTTCTAGTAAATAAATAGAACATAAAGGAGATTGAAATTATAACTTTAATGATACAATTAATACATACAATTGTATTTAGTTGAATCATATACACAGTAGTATGATGGGTTTGAAAGCTTCTCCCCCCAAACTGTTGCATTTGATGGGAAAAATTGAACACATTTACAAAAATAAAAGTCATTATGAAAGTCCCTTCCAAAACTTTTAAGGGTCCACTTCAGAAGTTCTTTCAAGGTTTCAGCTGTGAATGCCAACCCACATTAGTATCCACCCCCCCCAAGTAAATTTCTTTCATTGTATTGTGCACATACTAATATTTTATTACATAAACTACTATCATCTGTGATCCTTTGGTATCATACCTGTGGCCAGTTTTGTTGGTTCTTACAGTGCTGTAGCTCAAACAATGTTTAACCTAATTTTCTGACACTGTATTTAACTCTGGAAAATGCAATGAATGTTTGGTAGTTAAAAAACAGTTCACTCAGATCAATTCTTGCAATGAAAAAAGAAGAAAGGGGAGGGGAAAAAAAGGGAGGAATCAATCCTGTTCCCCATCTATATACTGAGACACATTGAATGACACCTCACTTGTCCCAAATGGAGGGTTGGAAGTGGTCTGATAAACACATGCAATATATCTGATGAATGTACGATAGTGTTTAATGCACATCAATAATAACAACAACACAATTTATTAGTATTCATTCACAATAACAAATGACTCAAAGGTCATGAAACATTAAAACAGCCAAAACATTAGCATCACAACACCACCATGTCTCCCAGTCAGCCAAGACTTTCATTAAGTATGTAATTTCTAAAAACTACTGTCTAACTCAGAATAACCCATTTCCTGCATGCTCCCAAATATAGTAAAAGCTACAGTGATCATTGATCAACATCGTGTATTCACAGAGTCCACATTGGTATCAGATATGATGACCTGGGTAAAGGTCTTTATGGGTTTGGGGACTGGTTTCTCAATAATAAACACATTTATATAATAGTCTTCCGTATTGTGCAAAAAAATTAAAATACATTTCCTACAGTACATAATAGTAAATATATATTTTTTATTATTTTTAACAAACACATTAGTGATTTAAGACAAAAAATATAAAACACAGAATGAACTACAAATTCACAACAAAACATTCCTCAGTTGAGAGTCCTGATTCTTTACACACAGAAACTTACAACATACAGGGAGTAACAAATGAAACAGGATCAATATTTGAAAGCTAAAAACTAACACTGAAGTTGTATATGTGAATTTTTATATATATATATATTTATATCTCTCGGGTAATTACTATATACATATCAGGTGTAAACACATACCGAATTTACATCTCTCACTCCAAATTAAATGGCTTGAGCAAACAAAAATAAAACAGCATGTTAATTTGCAATATACTACATAGTTACATCTACCTCTATACGGGAAGAACTTTAATACAAAATGCTTTGAAAAGAATTATAATTATTTACATGATGCACAATCCAATAAAACAAAGGCTGAAATGTTTGAAGAATCTTACCTCATCCAAAATATACAATATGAGGCAATACGTACACAATTTGGCCTCACGATACCTGGTGCGATTAACCAAGCTCAAGCCAGTTAATACTGTAAGAAGGCAAATCATACAAAGTAGTCATGTCAAATTCTTTGATAATGAATTTTTGTCAAATAATAAACAGTACCAAGATATCACTTTGTAATCATGGTTTAGAAAAGGAAAGCATTCACACATTAATAACAAATGGAAAGAATGTTCGTTAGCAGTAGTGTACTACATATACCCAACGTTTTATCAAAGAAAATGCATCAGATCACAGTAGCAAAATGCTGAACCAACCTATTCATCCAAACCCAGCCTGATGACCCTCTGAAGGCCTCAATGCTCTCATTCTGTTGAGTGCTATGTGCAAACAACTTAAGCAAATGCTTCACATATACTAATAACAATTTGTGTGTCCTTAACAGCATATCCACATTCACTTCCTTTGATGTCAGCTAGCAGTAAAACTACTCAAAAACAAAGTTTCACTCATACACAGCACTTTGAATATAGACGCCACCACTCTTAAAAACAGGCAGTGCCATCGCAGTTTTGTAGATTACAGCCACATTTTTTCTGAGAGTTGTTTGGCAGTGCTTTCACTGGGGATTGCCTCAATCAGTGCACAATGCCTGCTCTGCAAGAGTTTGTAAGGGCAGTGCAGGCTCAAACAACCCCAGAGGGGGGTCCTCCTTTTGAGCATGCATCTCTCGGTGCAGACGCCAATTGTTGAGCAGGTACTGGTATTCTGCCACTTTCTCCACGTCTTTCAATTCATGATACACATGCATCAGGCCTCTGTAGTCATATTCCAGACCTGAGTAGTTCTCACCAAACAATTTGAGACCTGGAGTCAGCATTCAAGGACAATGTCAAAAAATAACTTAATTTTATTGGTAATTAATAAATACCAAATATTTTTAAAATGTGAAATGGACAAGAATCCTAACACTTATTAATGCACCTGACATTATCTTAATTACTAAAATCTTTGTTGTGAAATGATGTGCTGGTATTCTATAATGAATGAATTAATCATTTGTTTGAAAAGAGTATTCCTATTATATTACATATTGTCAAAAAAACTTCAGTAGAATTAATTGTAGTGATATCAGTTTCTGGATGTAAAGGCGAGTTGTCTACTGGAATTGTTGGTTTTGAATTCCCCATTAAATAATTGAAATTAGTTGATGCAAACAGAACATTGATGCACATTGAAACCGCAGTTGATGCACAGTAGAAGATTAATGTCTTATTGCAATGAAAACATTTTAAAAGAGAAAAAAATTAAAGAAGAAAACAGGGCTAAACATTCAGCCCTGAAATGAATCTGAACATCAACAAGAGCAATCTAAACAGCAAGATACAGATATGAACACTTTTAATAAATTATTTCAGCAGAATAATTTCACTCGCACCTGAATTCTGCAGTCCTCACTTACACAGATTTTGCAAATAGCAGATGAAATTTGTAGTGTGGAGGATATTTATGTTGGAGTGGTTATTATGCTAAATGATAGCACAGAACTGTACTTATTCCTGGTTTTCATGAGGAATTTACTGACACTTGCTACTCCTAATAGACCCTTAGTGTCAGAACTTTCAGACTTTCTGCATCAGCTTAAAGATGTTCTGCTCCATGTAAATTGACAATATGAGAATATGAGTATATAAGCTTTTTTTGTCAATTACCAAAATAGAAGAACAAAAAATATAATAAACATTTACTTGTCATTAAATCAAAATTTACTGCTGTTCATTCGGGTCATTGCCCAAATTTACAAGTAATTTCTGTATATACTGTATTTTTGCTTTGATCATAGCATTTCTCTGTGCACTAATCATTCAAGGAGCTTTAATTTGCTGCCATTTAAGCAGAAATAACTCTCTCTGCATGTGACATGCAAGGTTGTTTTCAAAATTATCACACAAAAGATAAATATTGTACATAAAATTAATGTTTTCTTTATTATTTCAATAGATAAGGATATCATCTTTTGTATAATGTAATATGAACAAAATCTATAAAAAATTCACTGAAATAAAGATGTTAACCTCCTTATCAATTTCAATTTCCTGCGTAAATTGTATTTTACTGCATTTTTCAATATACAATTCACCAGAATAACCCATTTATGAGCTCATTTGTAGCAAAATTTTAAACAAAGAATCTAATGTAGTGGAATCTCGTTAAAATGTTCCTCATTAACACGCCTGGTTTTCCTGCTTAGTATGTTCATATTTTCAAGTCCTAGTCCCAAGACACCAAATTTTTCTTAAACATGTTCAACATTTCCACTTAGCATGTTCAAAGTTGTTCCGGGAGAGGCACGTATTTTCCAGTGCACCAGTGCCATCATCAATGTGTGCTGTACTCTGGTACTTTTGGATACCACTTTCACTCTCAATCTGATTCCAGAGCTGGAGGAACACGTTACACTGTACCCTCCATGCCATCTTCATTGTGTGTTATCACGTGTTACCGTTTTACGTGTTTCTTTCAGTGATAAACTTGGAGCCAGTGGCGTAACATTCGTGCTATCAAGGCCCGCAGTGCGGGCAGGTCCAGGTAATCGAGGGCCCATTTTTATTAAATATTTTATTCAAGGTACTAAACTAATTATGTTTGCTATGCACTTTTATAAGGGGGACGTGGATACAATTTTGGAGGGCGGGCCCCGCTCATTTTGTTACACTACCAGTGGCGGCTGGTGGCCTGACAGACTGGAGGTTGCACCTCCACCAAATGAGAGATTTGTAATTCCCAAAATTCAAAGTATGAAAATATAATAAAAATGTAAGCAATTCAAATGAAGTAAAAGTAAGTTAAATAAGGGAGTATATTGAATCATTACTTACATAATCTTGTGTGCCATGACCAAGTCAGGTTCATTATATACCTCTCGCACACGTGGTTATGGCTTTGATTTCTACTGAACCCTAAGTTTGACTCCAGCACATCTCAACAAGCACTAAGCTTCGACATGTTTCATGCAAATAAAATTACTTTATTTCAAAAATATCACTACCCTGGAATATTTTGTAACAGATCCTTCCACAAACACACACACACTTATATTCCACCCGTGCTCTCTGTGGTGTAACTGCAGCCTGCTGCATCTACTGAGAAAGGGACATCCTTCGAGATCGGCCAACGTCAAAGAATTCATTAAGTGTGCATTTTAAATGAGTAAATTTAATATCAAATGAAAACAAATTCTCTAAACATCATAAATAATGCATTAAATGCTGTCAAAATTGACAAATGTCATAATTGACTGAACTTGTATACTTTCATTAACAAGCAAAATAAATTACATTGCAGCAAGTCAGACAAAGATAAAATTTTTGCATTCCCCTGAGACTCACTCCATCTCCATGCAGTGCTAGACAGAGCCACCATGTGCAGTCAAAAGGCCCTATGTTACCCGTGTTAAATCAAAGGGTCAAGAGAGTAAATGTAGTAACCCCAGTAATACAGCCAAGATCCAAGAGCATGGTGCAATATCTGGCATGGTACTAAGCCTCGGAGACAGCGGCAGTTGGACTCTCTTTGGTTACAAAACAATTTCACATACATCAATATTGCAGCAATGTCTTGAATATTGAATGTCATTAAAAGGAAAATGTATATTCCCAGGATATTAAGATATCTTTTTCGATTATATCTGGGGGTTGTGCAGCTGCGCAACCTAAGCACGAGCCACCACTGTACGCCACTGCTCATAGAGCTATCTTTTTTCTAGCAAGTGTATTTTTGTAAATTCGATGCCATATAGAAAAGAAAGGCAACGCAAATTGCTAATGAAGAGAATGGAACATTATTGTAGCCCTGAGGTGAACAATGCAAGTTATGAGAAAAAACCAACAAGCAATTGATCAATTTTTCAAACCCTAATAAAATATTTACTTTTCTGTTAATGTGCGTTACTTTAAGTGCTTTTTTTTATACGTTTCAATTTAGTTTTATTAAATTAATTTATGAGTAAACTAGATCATTCTGTGTATATTTGCGTGTTATTTATGTATACATTAGTTTCCGTATTACGGTGGTTTTGTAGATGGAAATGTGGGAGGTAAGTATAAATTGAGCATTCACCATTAGCACATTTTCTCGATTTCGACATTCAAAATTTTCAGTCCCTTGAAAAACGTACTAACGAGATTCCACTGTATAATGACATGGAGTCAATACATATTTTTGCTTTATTGCTTAATCCTGTTTATGGAATCCGCAAATACTAACGTTCTCTCCCTAAGAAAAAACAAAAGTAATTAATTATTTAAATTATTTTCAATTTTGAGTGTACGTATCCATTATTTGTAACTAGTAAGTAAATTGGTATAAACAGATGCAGATCATGAGTTGGAACAATTATTGCTCAGCCACATATAAAAATCGTCTGTACTACTAACAGAAACACAAATAAACGATGATTCACCATATAAAAGAAGATAACTTCTCTAAAATAAATAAAAATCTTGCCTCTATGTATACGGGTTTAGGAGAAATGCACCGTCAAACGTGTCCACAAACCTTATGACCAGTAAAGGAAGAAAGATGGGCAGAGGGTATGACTTGAATGTGTTATGTTTTGAGGTGGTTTCATTTGGAGGCGATCTTGCCTCTAAGTTTTCATGAAACAGAAACTGAATCTGATTGAACGCAAACAAAGCTGCTCCTGACAGAATGCATACAAACAATAAAAAAAGTGAAAAAAACAAACAAACTTACTAATTCCTATGGACCGATAGTACAACTGTTCTGCTTTCCGATACTTCTTCATATGGTAATTATATAGACTAGCCAGATGACCTATAGACAAGCCCACTTCATAGTCATCACAACCAAGCAGCTCTTCTTTGATGGCAATGGCCTTCAAATGCATTATTTCTGCTTCCTAGAATAATCAGAGAAAGATGTTCAAACTACTACAGAAGAAAACCTTCAGTTAGCAGTGTAAGAGGCAATAATAAATGCACCATTATTTTATTAGAAGAAAACAAAAAAAATATTCATACACACCAAACTTTCCATTGCAAATTTTCAATAGATTATAGAACAGTTGAACACTTTAGTTTGGATAGTACAGTTCTTAAGAATATTTCGAATATAGGAATACTTTACTGATTTCTGCTATCCTGAATTTACAGATATCTGTGCTTAGCTTTTTCCCTAGCTATCGGGAGACTCTTCTGAAATACTTCTGCATAGACTGATAGAACTTTATTAATCCAACTAGACCAATGATGTCTTATTGCATTCTCACTGTTATTTTTAAATTATATACAAATACTTTGCTCTGTTTGAGCAAAAAATTTAAAGAAAACAATTGGGGCCATTTCTGAGAAAATTTCGAAATGTCTAATGGGTTTTAGGAAAAGTACCTACCAAAAATTAAACGATCAGTTTCAAATTTGAAGAGCTGCAACACCATTAACATCAATCAAAAATTATTTCACAATCAGGGACCTCCAAAATGTATTCCATAAAAATCTCAACATAAGTGTTTTTGCAGCATTACAATTCTTTCTCTACACTATGTACACAAAGTAATATCACACTTTCATTTTCTTAATAATTCTTTGCATTTTGAACAAAGTTTTAATGTTCAATATATAAATTATACTACACATTGAACTAGTGTTCAAACAAAATTATGTTAAGAATAATAAGAAATTATGATAATTGAAAATAATGCAAAAAAAATTGTTGGTTTAAAAATGTGCATTATATTATGCATATACACAATCAAATAGCATGAGTATTGTTTAGATTGATCCTGATGTGGCTGTTATACTGATGGCTAATATATAGAATTTAAATACCTGGAACTTCTTCATGCTCTGATACAAACGTCCCAAGTTACCAAAATGTTTAGCTGTTTGGACATTCTTTTCACCGAATGTTGCTACTGCCAACTTCAAAGCTGATTGATGCAATTCCTCAGCCTTCGAAAGTAAAATATTCATTCCTAAAAAAATCATTACATTAAGATTAAAACCATTACAGCTCAGTGTTACAACAAATTACAACAAAAGTAAAGTGCAACTAGTTATACCAACTACCGACCTAAGCTTACTTTAAAGAATTATTTTAAGAAAATTAGAGTTAAACATCTAATACATAGGGAAAGGATTTTCACAAGCAAATTATTGGTGTAAAAGGGGGGAGGAGGTTCTGAAAATACACACAAAAAGATGCTGCTGAAATAACTGTATTAAGGTTTAAAATCTGTTAAATGAACTCCAGTTTCTAGAATATACTCTTATCATTTTGCATCAAATTGCTTTGCTTTATAGAGTCCCTAAGATGTCATTTATAATACTTTATCCAACACTAGTATATAGAAAACAATTGTCACTACTGAACTTATTTTCCCCACAGATCGCGTAGTTGAATGTACTTTGCAGGCGCGTCAAACTGTACCCACATAAGCCCTTCCCTGCGTGGGAACCTTGCTGCTGTTGTGGGCACAGGCAACTTCCCGACTGCCCTCTCCTTTCTCCTCCAAATTCACAAGTGCAGCCAGTACTGTTTAGTATTGACGGCAACCCAATGGCAAGGGTTAACATTTTTCTCAGGTCACAGACAATTTGTATATACCCAGATAATTATACCCAGATTTAAATGTTCTGATTTGCCTGTCTGGGCAGCACTATAAATCCAGCGGGAAAGGATCCCAAAATGTGCAATTTTCGGGAAGCATTACCTAAAACGTGCAATATCGTACAGTAACCCACCAATCATGCAATTTCATGTAAAATAAAATCCATACAAAAATAATGCCCTTTTCATGATTAAAAATTCTGTCATCCAATTTCAAGTTAGTAAAGAAAAGATGCAGTAACACAGGATCCCAGTCTTTAATTATTACAATATTATATTTAGTGATGGTATCACAACAAACTAAATCCCTCATGGAAACCATCTCTAACCTCCATCTGCACCCCTCCGAACTGACATTTCCAAGGCATTCTATCGGCTGGTACTCCAGTCCATTTGCCTGGCAGAAGGAATAAGGGATAAGAGCCAAGACCTGTAGCTCATTTGAGATATAAATGGTTGATATAAATGTATGATATGGGAATTGAATATTTTTTGTAATAAACTTTCCCCAAAAACACCTTTTGCCACCATTATTCCAAATTCAACTTGGTCAAATAAAAGAACAGTGGTAGGAATTAGGGGTAGAGCTCAAGAAAATATGAACTAATCGCACTTCTTCAACACACAGGTTTGAACTTTTTTTTTTTTTGGTTATGTTATATAAATAAAAGAATGAATTCACTCACCAGAATTGTGGATCATGGTGTCAAGAGCAATCTCTTCTAAAATCAGAGCCTTCACACGCTTCACAGACGCCAACATGAGATGATCCTCTGGGAGCAGCCTTTCCATTATAGCAATGGCTTTGTCAGCATGTTCTCTACCCCAACATAAAAAAATGCACATATACTTCACCCCAACATAACAATTGGATGGTTGAATGCAGGAATGGGGAGAAATTCCCTATCCAGAAGCAGCACGCTCATAGAGTTTTATACCAATCCTTTCTTATAAATTAATCTATCTGTGTTATACATACAATGAGAAGATATTATAAGCTTGGGAAGAATACAAGAAGGATTTTACATGGAGATATCTAAAAAGACATTAAAAGAATTTTAATGGGAACAAGATAAGACAGTCTGAGAAATAAAGATATCAGAAAGAAATTAAAAACCAAAGGTTTAACAGAAGAGAGAAAACAGTCTCAAAGGAGACTGAAAGATAATTTACAGTGAATGAACAACAGATTTCCAGAATTAATCTGGAAGAGAGAAAAGCATGCCACTAAAGAGGTGGCAACAACAGGAACACTTAGAAGACTACTTATATATCAAGAATATTGTAATAAATCAATAGAAACATGCTGTAAAGCTCAATTTCTAGTCAGTTCATGATGATGATTGTGAATTTTAAATTCATAAATTCTTTGTGTTGTCAGAGCAACATGTCTCTAACATTGGGGTGTACTGGTATGGAAAAAGGGCAAAGATCAATTTTTGTAACCATTGTAAATTACAATATTTTGTGTATACTCACCGAGCTTTCAAGAAGCGACCAGAACTGTATTCATGAACATAAAGTGCATAAGCAAGATCTTCATGGGCTACAGCAACGTGGAGATTCACCTTTCCAAACATAGCTTTTCGAATGTCCAGAGCCATCTGCCAGAATCAAGTACAGAAAATTAGGGGTATATAATATCAGACAAAATTTAAAATATTCTCTATTCCACAGATGCATAATTAAATCACTGTTGTGTTTTTTCAAAATCCTTGTGTTATTTAATGTAAAATCATTAAATTAGATATAAATTATTTTATTAATTAAATTAGATATTAATTGTGGTAATATTCCCATATAACCCCAAACAACCTATTGATAATATCGACATTAACAAACAATTTGAAAAAAATATCATTTAACATCATGGAAGTGAATTGAGCACAAAGATTTGATGACAAGGGAGAAGACAAGATAAGAGGTTACGTTCCAAAAGAAATTTTCACACAAGAACAGAAAATCTATCAATTTAGGTCATACAAGTTATTAACACTAGAGTCACGATACTTTATAAACAAAAATTCTTTTTTTCTACAAACATTCATACATTACCTTCACTGAGTGGGCATATTATTTAGTTGAACTATCCATTGAGAAAGTACACCAATTGTAGATAACAAATGCAACTAAATTTTCATAGTATTAAAAAAATTGTGTGAATTTTTAGAGGCTGAGAAAATCTGTGTAATTATACACATACAAAACAAAAAGTTTTGACATATCACAGTAAATTCCAAAATATAAAACCTTGAAATTAAATTCCTTCACCAGAACAAAACGGCACCTTTTTATTCCTTCACACAATTTCTTTTTAGCAGCAGATGCAGTAACAAAAGAATAAAGATAATTTTAAAGTTAATGGATTTCAATTTTAATGAGTTCCTAACTTTCTAAACTTCCCTCCCCTTCGTTGGTCTGTAACTCAAACAGTACCTGTAGTTGAAATTATGCTTCAATGATCTGGTCTCCAGACAGCAAGGGCCTTCAGTTGGTTTTGGAAAAGAGTTAACAGAGGTTCCTTAAAAATCTAGAATTTAGAGAGCAAGATTTATCCACTGAGAGGAAAAGATAATGAACTAAATGTATTCTACATTTAAATATTTCAAGCATGGCTAATTGGCCTTGATAATTTTGTTTTGAAAAAATTTCAGACATATACATTACCCGATTACTCATTCTCAAATGTCATTGTTGATTCCTTGTCATTTGTCTATTGTTTATAAACCATTTGATACTGCATCAACTTTTTTTAAATAAGGTGTTTCAAACTAAAAAAATATCAAGTCTTGTGAATAATTTTGCCACCAGTAATGGTAATGAGATGTTTTTATCTTATTCATCTTAACATTGTAAGATCTTAACATTGTCTCAACATAAATGATGAAATGCCTTTTTAATTATGAGTTAATTAGGAATATAATTGGGTTTATCCACATGGCATTTTTCTTGAATGTATGATCAAAATCATTTTAGTCATATAATATTTTGTAGTCTAGACTGTCCAGGAGATACTAAGGTCTGCAGTGTTTTAATCGTCGAAACTTTAGGGTAAATATCTTATTATCTGATTTTAATTTCTTTACTCTTGGCAAGGCAGTGAAGTTAGGAGAAGGGGCACTGATATTTAATTTCAACATTAGAAATAGACGCCCCCAATTTGATAACCGTTGCCCCTCTCTTAACTCTCTATCTCACCAAGTGCCAAGAAATTTAAATCTGAGAATATGACGTGAACATGACATCTCTTACACATCAATGAAGTCCTAGACTTTGGTCATAGAAGCCTTTGTCCACACAAAAACAATGTTTTGAGGGATTAAGTACAATTGCATCACAAATTTTAATCACCAAATTTTTTTTTTAAGGATAAGACCAAGTATCACAAATTTTAAAAAATCATGATAAATGTCAGGAAATATTAAACAATTACAAATAATCAAGAGGCATTATCACAAATATCATTAACACCTTTTTATGCCACCAGAGTTGAAGTGGTAGGTGGTATTTTCATTGGTTTGATTTACATTTCTTTTAACACCATTTAACAGTGACTCAGAATTCTAATTATTATGACTTCTAGAAATGACCTAACCATCTTTACAAAAAAAAGTATATATGAAGGTATACCCTATGGCCTGGTGTGTGGAGTCCAAGCATCAAGAGCCAATACACTATATATAATTTTTCCAATAACTAAGAAAATTATGAAGTCAGACAATTTTATTTCTTAAAATTGTTGTGAAACCACATAAGAATAACACAAACAATTTTCAATTAAATTTCGAATATTAGATAATAACCCTGACTTTTCCAGATTCTTCAGATCTATCAAATCTGATAATCGATATTCTTACATTCACAAGGGTTCACCTACCTCATAGAGAGCAACACTCTGCCTGATGCAATCAAAATTGAGTAAATAAAACGCATAATCCAGCAGGGCATCTGCATATTTGGGGTGATCAGTGTTGTACACATCTCTCGTCAAGCACACAGCCTGCTTTGCCAGTAGGCCAGCGCGGCGAAACTCACGCTTCAACACACAAGCTTTGGCCGCCTGACGGAGAACATCCACGGCCAATCGTACTGGCGCATTATGCACTCGGCGAAGGGCTTGCAAACTCCATCGGTGAGCCTACCAAACAATATCATATGCACACCTGACAACTTCTCCTTTCATTGTTTCAGAATTAAGCTCTAAGCAATGTGTTTGTATTCTAGAAAATCATTTTAGATATTACACTGAATTATGTAACATTTGCGAAATTGGAATACAATAATTAACACATTTTCTGATATTGTTGATTCCTATATATTAATTAACTTCATTATATTTTGTTTCAGCAGATCAAATATAATGCATATACATGTTCGAATAAATGGGAGGGAAATAAGGGAAATCCACCCCCCTAAAATTTTTCAGTATCTATTAATTTGAATTGCCATGAAACTTTCAAGAAAAAATATTGTAGGAAATCATTAAAATGAATAAAATCATAATGCAGCATAAGCTAGTGTAGCCTACATTTTACAAAATCTGTAATATGACACCTTTGATCAAAACATTTTGAATTTTCCCTTCCAAAATTCATCTTTGGATCTGCCCCAGGCATATATCTTTACTTCAATAAAGTAAATATGTAGAAAACATACTATAATAAAGAAATACCCAGATTATTGATGCCTGAACCTAATAAAAAAATTGAAAAGTAAAACAATGTGTCTATATAATTATAGTAATCTTATAAATAAAAGACAATACATATTAATAAAGGAATTCTTCAAAACAATACACATTGAGACAATTTAATGAAGTAAAAATAACAAAATTTAATACCTTCTTTCATAAATAAAAAATAAAAACCACACACACATACACACAACCACCACCACCCCAATTTATCAGAGATTTTAGAAGATACATGAAAAATGTTTAAAATTCTAGTATTTAACTAAAATTTCGTCTTGTTTTGTCAAACATTTTAAATGTTAAAGTGCTTGTAAATTTTAAGACTGATTTTGTAATACTACCTCATCATATTCACTTCGGCTGAAATGCAACACTGAAAACTCTGTGAAGAGCCCCGAAAGGTTTGTAGGCTCCTGTAGGTTCTGCAATTGTGCAACAACTTCCAGGGCTAGCTGATAGCTTTTTTGTGCTCCAGCAAACTGGCAAAAGGCAGCCTGGGTACGGAGTAACCTAAGCAGGAGAATACATCTTGACAACAGAAAGAACATGGACATATAATATCAAATATTGCTTCTTTAAGCATTTCATTTCCTGGAGAAAAAGTATACAAAAATACAAACTTTCCAAATATCGAATAACTTGAAATATAATACACAGATCTAACAAATTCAACTGCAATTTGCATGCCCAGATATCCTTAAAGATATGATCCATTTTGAAAGATTACATTTAAAACACAAATTTTACTCTCACTTCACTCTACAATTTCTGGGAGATAAATGAGAAACAGCTAGTATTGTGAAAGCAATGCAATGAGATTGTACAGACCTACATCTTAACTATGACAATGCACAAATACATACTTAAGAATCCACGAAAAATATTTTACCAAGAACTAACAAAAATGTTCTGAAAAGGAATACAAACTTGTGGCAACATTCGAGGAGTTTGCGTAGATTGGGGCCTGTCAGGTCAGTTGATTGGCACAGTTCTTTGCATGCAAGTAAAACTCTTTCACTCTCTGCAAACCATCCAGCATCACTTAGGAAACCACCTGTATCACAAAAATATTTCCAAATCTTTAAAGTTCACAACAAAATATCAGCCAACAAGTTGTATAGTTTAACACTCATTAGTAATGAGTTATTACCCAGTCGTAATCCAAGATCAATAGTGGACTCTTTACATTGGCATCCATTAAGGCCCACACATCTCATCTGGTAACTCAGAGCTAAATCTTGTGCCACCCGAGAGTCATGATCCATTAAAGACTGTGAACAGTACATCCACAAATTGCACATAAATTGCAGGAATTAGAAGAACATACAAATGATTTTCACAATCTCAAAAACTATAATGTTTCACAGATTCTTGTGTTCTGGCACCAAAATAAACTAACTTCACATATTATAAACAAATGTAAGAAACAGAATCTGGGTGGTGGGATGCTGTTAATTAGTACAGAACATCATTCATGAGGTATGATGTAAATTAATATTTAAGTGATCCAAAGCTTTTGTGGTTGTTTAGAACTCTAAATTTTATAAGCACTGAGTTACATCTCAAGTAACACCCTAGAAGTTCAGGTGAATTTTTGTACAGCTTCAATACAATATTGTATTATATCTGCATTAAAGTGTAAGGGTAGCTATGAAGGAGGCTCCTAATGATAAACTTGTTGAAAACAAATGGTGTAATTTCTGGTGCAAGGATTCTCTCAGACTTGCATTTTTATTTAAGTGATTGAGCCTGTATGGAACAATGGTTATCGTTACATAATCACTGAACTGTATGAAGGGCATTTGAATTTTCGATATCCCTAATAATGGTAAAATATAATTTCCAAAAAGGCTGCAAGTTAGCATGTCTTTAAAATTACTGGAGCAACATTTATTAATCTACTGAAAATTAAAAGAATATTAAATTACAGTAATATAATCTTAGCTATTAGCCTTTTCTTGTTTCCTCCCATGAATTTTCATTAATCTGGCAACTGTGTAGGTCTCAACACCATTTGGAAAAAAAATAAAAGCCTAAAATATATCAAATTGTTAAATTTTGAATATTTCATAAAAAATGATTATTTTACAGAATTTCTAACAGTTTATGTGAATTGTATTCGTTTGAAATCTAACTAAAAACTTTTCAATTCACTACTATTTTCAGCCTAACATCGATCATTCTCTTATTTTCTTTTTAGGTTCCATTAAAGTTTGTTCATAACTTTTAATTAGAATTTCCATTTAAGTGGAGTACAAGTGCATTTGAACAATTCTAATGCCATATTAATGAAAACATGGGGGAATCTATGGGTAACAAAGAAGCCATTATATGAATTGATGTACAACTTAATTTCACAAACCAAATCTTAGAAAAAATGTTAGCAAACTAAGTAGAACTTCATATAAGATGTATGATATAAGAAAGTTGCTGTATTTGGAATACTCTATTAAAAATAAATGCAAAAAGTTAGTGGTACTACTTGCTAATACTATTTCGTAATCAGTTTTTGCATAATAAATTTTGTTGAGCACTGGAAATGGCTATTGTCTGCCAATTGTCTTATCTGTCAACGCACTTGATGCTTACACCTGAACAATTGTCATGCCACATTAATATTATTTGAGGCACTAAGGGAGTTGAAAAGGAGAACTAGTGGTGCAACAGAATGAGGCAGACTTGCTCATATTAATTCATTTCCTATTCTCTTTTAATGTCTAAATGACTACCACGGCCTCCCGCAGTACCTACTAGTCTTCTTGGAGAAGGTGAAGAGCACCTTACACATCCCAACCAGAGAGACCTATCTCAATCCTGTACCTTTACAAATTTGCAAGTGGTATTCCTTGGGCCCACCTTTGTGCTTGTTCAATTATTCTGGAACATGGTGCTGAATGTCCCTCAAACACAATTGAAAACATTCATATCTCACTTCAAAACCACAGCCATTGGCTCATTTGCCACAAAGACCCTGCCTCAGGAGGCTGAACCACATATGGCTAATGAGTTAGTTTTGAAACATAATAATTTCATAAAATCTATAATATCTTAAACCTATCTTTAAAATCACACACTGGCTTTCAGGCACTTTATAATCAAATCTATACATCTGAAGTATTCCAAAACCATTGATTTCAATAGGCATAGTGCAATAAAAGTTATTTTATCATAAAAATCTAGCAACAACACTCTGTAATCAACAATTTTCTAAAAATTTAGCTAACTACAGAGGACATAACAGTTAACACAAAGTTTACTTTACTTTCATGTAATGCACTTGCACACACGGGCATCCACATTTATGTACATATAAAATTATAAAAAAATAATTATATTTATAATTCCCCTCCCCCTCACAATTTTCCCACTTTTCAGTACCCGAATAGTAGAATGGATATTTGACTTTAAGAGTAATACCTAGTTCTATATGCAAAATTTGGAGCTGTTTTTGAGAAAAGGATCAAGGATTCTGGAAATGTGCAACTTGGAGCTCATTTTCACAGGAATGTTTGGAGTTTTTGAGAAACTCCATAAGACAACATCTGATGTACTCGAACATACAAATGCAATAATATATAAGTACTGCCTGAACAAAAATATTAATAATGTAAGAGATATCATAAATTACAATTATTATTTTGAAGAATGAAGGGAATACATCAAAATGTGCATTAAGTCGTGAGGGGGAAGGGTGGGAAAGGAGAAGAGGCAGAGTGGGAAGTGGCAAAGGACAGAGAGGTAGAGGTGAAGTGGAAGAGGGAAAGAGGGGAACAATGTGGTGGAGAAGGAGGGGGAGGGACGGAGGGGGTGGGGGAAGAGAGATGAGGAGGAGGATGGTGGGAGGAGGGTGGTGAAGAAGAGGAAGAGAGCAGGACGTTGATGGGGGGGGAGGGAAGAGGTGGAGGGTAAGAGAAGAAAAGGAGGGGCAAATGAGAACGGTAGGGAAGTGGAGGAGAATGGTGGGGAGAAGTGTGAAGGATGGTGGGAGGAGGGAGAAGAGAAGAGACTGAAAACCAATCAAAATAATGAAAGAATACCAGAAGAAACAGAAAAGGCAAATAAAAAATAATGGACAAACTGTGACCACAATGGCATTTAATTACAAACTGAAAGACAAAAGGGACAGAGGCAGACTCACTGGAAGCTAAGCATGAACAAGAATACTTCACTGATTGTATGAATATTGCTTGTCTAAGTATAAACAACACATTCCTAAACCAAGGTTGTTTTTTTGACAATGAAGATTGTCTTTATTTACGCATCATTGAGTGAAACAAATTGACCTATACAAGTAGACCAGCTACCACAGCTCAACTTTCTTGAATTACTGGTAATGGCCATATAATAGTAGACTTCACATTTTACCCTAACTCCTAACATTACAGCCATCACTTGAAAAACACCAACAACATAACTAAAATTTACACAAAAACTACTAATATTTTCAAAATAGAGAACATTCAATGCTTTAAATACCTAAGAAATACATTGGATTAAGATAGAAATCTCTAGCTTCAAGACTGAAGTTGTAGGGCAGATTTGAAAAACATGTGAAATATTGAAATTTCAGTGTTTTGATGAAAATAAGACCTTTACCATATTACTAAGCAAACATTACTTGAGCAAAAAAATGAAATGTGGAGCCATTTTTAAAAAATATCTTCTTAATGTATTTTTGAAATTGCTATTTCACTAAAACCTACTTATAAAAAAATCGGCCCTTACTGTTAAATGTATAATTTTGAACAATAGACATGATTAAAAATATTTATTTTCAAAAATGTAGCTGTAGGAGTTTAAACAAATGTGTAACTTATGCAATTTTGGAAATTTCTAATGTTTTACTGAAAATCGGAACTATGTCATTTCTATAAGCATACTAAAATATATAAATACCTAAAAATATATATTTAAAAAAGCCAGTTTTGAGATAATTTTGCAGAAGCTTTATAAAGAATATTTATTTTTATATATTTATTATTATATTTTATATATTTATTTATTTTTTTTTACTAACTTTCCCCATACTCAAATCTCATCTCAATCTGTATCTGAAGTACTGCTATGATTCAAGAGCATCTGATATTTAATCTCCACTAGCATTTAGATAAGCACCTGTTCCCCAGACCAAAACACAATTTCTCTGTTGAAGTGATTAGAAGAAAAACCAATGGGTATTTTATAAGGTCCTAAGAGTTTAGTTACAACGAAGGACCAAATTATTTGGTTCATATAACAAATCTTAAATTACTAAATAATAATTAAATAAGTTGTGACTGAGCTTTTTTAAACATCATTATTTTTTGTTGTGATGTATTTGCAGTACTGTAACCATTTTTTAAGAAATGTACAATCATTATTATTCACGCAAGGGTAGTGCTATTAAGCTATACTTGTTTACAAAGGGATTGGTATAATTCTGTGTTTTAAAGAAGTTGATCTAATGTTTTATAAAATGCAAAAATAATTTTTATAAATTTCCAGTACAACTTATTCTACATAAATGTAGCCAGCATTTCAGAATCTGTGCAACTTGTAAATTTGGAGTGTCAGATTGTTGATCCTTTGTAAACAAAAATTCTCTCCACTTTAAGACAACAAGGTCATTTGTTTTGAAACAAGAAAATTGAAAACCTACTCAAGACTAGTATACTCTGAGAGTTACATCAATTTTCTCTAATTTAAATAGAATTGAACAATAACAATGAGCAAGTTTAAAACAATTTGTAACAAAAAACAACATTCACGCTATGAAAGTATCCTCACAATTATTCACTAAAAGAGGGTTTCGAAATAAAAGAAACTGTAAAAAAAGTCAATGAAATTGGAAATTTCATGAAATGTCAATAATTAGTAATTAAGCATAAATACCAATAAATGGTATTATGTTTTGATTATGTTAAACTTACACTGTGGATGTTCTATAACAGATAACTGAACAGATACATTTCTAATAAATAATAAACAACAGGTGCAATTATACAATAAAATCAATTTACATCACAAATAAAAATTCTCTCTAAACACCTTGCATTATAAGCAACTACATTTCATTAACATTAACAATAAAATATGCTAACTTCTCTTAACGTTTTGTTTCATATTTCTGAAGCGAATTTGAAATTTTATATATTAATTTTCAAAAGGCATATGTTGTAAACATATGTCTCTTGTCTCCTAACACTTTGACTGTAGTTAATCAAAAACCTACCCACAAAAATAATACAATACAAACTTACTAACCTGAAAACTCTTCAACAAATGCAGCCGTCTATTCGTAACCTTTAACATTCGCGCGAATACGTCCAAATCACTAAATTCACCACTAAGAAGACATAATCTTTTATCCAGATAGAGCTAAAGAAAGAAAAAAAAAACACTTTTACTTCTTGATCTTACACATAAACTATAGCAAAATTTTGAAAATCTATTTACGCTTAAAAATTCATTGCAACATCTTTATATAAAAAATTGACAGAATTTCAATAAAAAATTAACGGAACAATACTCCTACGATGCGATGTTTTTCGATGTAGGGTAACTGTCAACACAAATGGCAAAGCAGAATGTTTCAATTACCTTGTGGTATAAATCGAACAGCAAACTTTCTGGAAGTGTGCGAAGATCATTTTTAAAATTATTATAATTGCTGATAACCGCTGAAACTCCTAAATTATACAAAGAATCTGGTAACCTCAACACGTTCGTAGCCATCTTACAACACTCATGTCAAGGAATAACGCTGGATTAACGCGAGTAACCAACCAGCAGCTTGTCGCAGCCACCAATTCGATAGTCAAATTCTTCTTTGTGACGCATGCTGGGATTGATTTTACTTCCGCGCTTCTTACGAACGCATTTACAAACGCAACTCTTTGACAAGCCGTAAGGAATTGGTAGACTTTGTACCTCCAGTGTAAACGAGCGAAGTCTTTACAATAACCATGTTGTTGTAGCTCTTATCAATTCGTGATTGATGACCTTTGAATTGTGGCTCAATCCATTATCGCATTCTGAATGTGCAAGATTTATTTATTACAATCACGCCAAACAACGTACTTACGTAGTAAATGGAAAATATTGCAATGCCGCTGCGGAAAGTGGCGATTTTTCGTCAGAACTAGTGGTGCTTTAACACCACAAATTTTTTGCATTATTCGTCACTTTTGCAATTTTTTGAAAATTCAGAGCATTTAATGAAAATCGGCCCTGCGCAATTTTTAAAATTATGATTGGCACAATTCGAGAAAATTATGGAAAAAATTGGAGTATTTTTAAGAAAATCTGATTTTTAAATGATTGTATTTTAAGCAGAATTATACGAAACTAGGATTTTGGAAAAAAATGTTCATCCAACATTGAAGAACAAATTTCCTTAAAGAAAAATCTAACTATAATTAAGCAAAATTTTAACTTAAGCGATTTTCCAAAACGTAGAGAATACAGCGAAAATGAGACATGCACAACTTTTATATGTGTTTTCTGCTTTATTAAAAAGTAGGAAACGAATTGGCGCAAGTACGATTTTCGTTGAATGCTCTGAATTTAAGTAATTTTTTTAGGTCTTCCTAAAACTACAATATTGATGATGATTTATGTTCTTACGGAAATCAGTTCGTAAGAAATAAATTAATAATTGAAGTCATGTATATTTTTCAAAACTTGAGTTGTTTTCATATACTTTTGCTTTAAGTAAAGGAATATTTAAGCAGCTTTTCTCAAGAAACCTCCAAATTGTTTCTTCAAACTTTTCTACTCATAGTGCTAAATGGACTGAATAACAGTGTGAGTGATTTTTATACATAATTGCATTGGTAAATACTAGAGCTTCAAATGATTTCTTATGAAGTTTCTTGAACACTCAGCAAGTTTTCTATGAAAATGAGCTCAAAATTTTGCATTTTCAGAAACACTCAAAGGGCATTTTTCGACAACGGCTCAAAATTTTTTAGGTAGCAGATAGGTAGCAGTTGACAAGAGGATAGTACACTACTGATATGTTAACCTAGTCTAAAGAGATTAGAAAACTAACAAGTAGATACATCACCACCAGTTTCTCATTTTCTCATGTTTTCCGTCATCTATCAGCAGAATTAAAATGTGGCTTTACTAATATTTTAGAAGGTAAAAACATGGTCTTATATACAATTTTAATTTAAAAAAAATTGAGCCATTTGTGAAACAATGTCTTTTAAACGTTTCTGAAATGCGCTTTTTTGAGCTCATTTTCAAAGAAAACTTTCAGGTCATGTCGAGAAACATTTGTGAAATTTTACATTTTGTATTCGTACGTATATCCGAAAAAAATAATACATGTAGCGTAGAGAAAGGTATGTAATGTAGAAAATCGATTTCGATCTTTTAACGGAAATACCTTTTTCGAGGTCCCCTGATACCGAGAAAGAGTACCCTTTCAGTACGTCCGCCCGTCTGCGAACAACACAAAGCCTGAACTGTTCTTCTAATAAAATTTGTTTTCCACAATTAGTTTTTTAAATTATTATAATGTACATTTTTTGAAAATTTTAGCGGTAATTTTGAGCGAAATATGGGTTATTTTTTTTTCAAAAACTGCTCCAAATATTTTCTTCAAACGTTTTATACGGAGAATAATAAATACACCGAAGAAGATGGTATAACCGCCATTTTGCTGTATTGTTTTTGCTTTTTTAAAAATGATACAAACCTTTTTTATACCTATCTCGTTAATGTTTACATTACTGACAATTTATATACATTATTGCGTTTGTGAGTATAAGTGATTCACATGATGTATGATAAGTTTATTCCAAATCTCAAAACTTTTCTGTGAAAATGAGTACTAAATTCCGCATTTTTAGTATAGCTCGAATGTCACTTTTCCATAACTAGTTGCAATTTTTTCTTTAACCTTGACGTACGGATAGTGCTAAATGCACTGAATAAAATTTCAATACCACCATTTTGATTCATACCCTTCATTTTTCCAAATTAAACAAATATAATTTTTACTTTCCCGCACTTCATAAGAAGAGAAAGCATTGTAATCGTGCACCAGACAACAGCGCATTTTTGATAGAGAAAATTCATTTCCGGGACCTAGTAATCAAAGAATGGATAAATCTTATTTCCATACATAGTAAATTACTTCCTCTAATATATTGTGTAGTAAGAATATATGTTTTGTGTGACTTTAATACCGAAAAATCGTTTGACAGCCGAACGTCTATCTGTCCGTTTGTCTGTGCCTGGTCAGAGCTAGCATCTAAATCGTTCAGCAGATTTTCTCCAAAATTGATATTCCTCCATCGATTTAAAGAAACTCGAGGTCATCTGAGTTTGAAATGGATATTTTGATTTTGGAGGGTACTTAATGTTGTCTCTACATTTTCTTTTTCTTTCAAAAATTGGTCCAAAATTTTATTAAACTTTGTCTTTGGATATTGTAAAGGACGCGTAAGATAATGGAGCAGAAATCATTTTTGTTGAAATCACTGATTTTTCAAAAATTGCAAAAGTTCTATTTTCTATATGAGAAATATAACTCACGTCGTTAATATTTGTATCACAGTCGTCTTTTTTTTTTACAAATTATTGCCTTTCTGAGTAGAAGTGTTTAAAAATATTTTTTATGAAGTTTCTCGTAAACTCAAAAGTTTTCTGTGAAAATGAGTTCAAAAATGACCATTTTCATAAATGCTGAAACGTTAAAAAAAATGGCTCCAAATTTTCTAAACAAAAAATCCATAAGAGATTTTACCTTTTTCTTCAGGAAAAATGGAGAAATGCTCTTTAGGGTGGGAATCGATAAAGGCTGGGATAGAGAGGGAGAAAAACCGTACAGCTAGCCCAGATTAGAAAACTAATTAGCACAAAAGGTATTTCATTCAGTAGCGTAACTAGTTTATATTATTTTTAAATAGAAATTTGTATCCCTCATAAATAATATTGTGAAGTAAGGTCTGATACAAGGCCTCTGAGTCAAATTGCCATTTTGAAAAATATTCATTAATTTTTGGGGGGTACTTTGCATGACGCCCCCTCAACATTTTCAACATTGTCTAAAAAACGGCTCCAAATTTTTTCCTTAAGTTTCTTATAAGAAATGAGTAATATTCGCTTATAAAGGTAGCACAGGTACGATGTTCAATGTTAACTCTGAAAAAAGTTCTCTAACACGTGGTGCAGCCAGAATCCATCTTTTGTGGGTTCTTGATATCTAAAAATCGATTGTCGGCAAAACGTCTCTTTGTCCGTCCGCCGTCTGTGCACAACGCTAGCGCATAAACCGTGTATTCTTGGCTATCCGGGATGAGCCGCGTCTCAGTTAATTGGACTGACGTTTCGGCCATCTTGCTGTGCCTTCTTCAGAGCTATACTGCATACTGCCGAAACTGCCGAGCATACTGCATACTGCCGAAACGTCAGTCCAGTTAACTGAGACGCGGCTCATCCCGGATAGCCAAGAATACATTGACTCCGGCCGCGGAAGCCTACGAACCTATAGCGCATAAACCGTTCAGCGGACCTTCTCCAAAATTGATATTCCCCAATTGTTCTAGCTGATATCACGGACTATGTAATTTGAAACCGAAATTTTAATTTTAAGGGATACTTTAAATGAAGCTTCTGGAACATTTTCAAAATTTGCAAAGAATTTGCTCCAAATTTTTAACTAAAATTTGTTGTTAAATCGTGCAAAGGACGTTTAACAGAATGGGGTAGGTCTCACTTTTGTTGTCATTCCAGATAATTCGAAAATCGAAAAACATTAAACTTCAAAATTGGAGATAGAGGTTTTTGTCTCAGCCAAAGTTTGTTGTACAAAATTAACTCTTCAAAAAAGGTCGTGTACATTTTTTTGAAACAAAAGGAGTAGTTGTGGCATATTTTGAGGTTGCAATTTACAACAAAAAAGTTTCTCAAAATCCTCTCCAATTTTTTCTTTAAATTTCCTCCACCTATCTAATAACAAATAGTAAGAAATATGGAGCTTGTCTCATTTTCGGGTTTTGCTAGTTTTTTTTCGAAAATTGACAAACAAAATTTCAAAACTACGAAATTGAAGGTAGAGAATTTTACCTCGGACAAAGTCTGTTGTACAAAATTAGCTCTTCAAAAAAAGGTTATTTACGATTTTTTTGAAAGAAACCGTAGTTTTTGCGTTATTTCTGGTTGAAATTAATGAAATATATATCGGTTTCACACCAACTACGGGCCACAAAAAAAATGAATGAATGATATGAAAAATATTTAATTTTAATTTCCGATTAAAAATGGCAATATTAATTCTATTGTTGCTGTCTCACAATTTTACTTTACTTAATTCTACAATTAGTATTCTCAATATTTTGTTGTAAGAGTACATAAAGTTGATGGTCTGCCGACGGTATTGTGCCGTCATGGATACTCACAGCGAACACAGACACGAGCTTTCTTATTATCAAATATTTATTTACAAGAAAACACAACAAATATTTACAATGAATTTACACTTTACACTCTAGCTCTGATAGACCTGCTATCCCCTGATCGCGGGAGCGATCCCAACCCGATTGATGATCGGTTTCAATTATGGCACTCGCCACTTTTACATTTGAAGCGCGCACAAAGCCAAGCTTCCTTGACCGGATGTCACACTAGGTCGCAAAATCCGTACCGGCGTACCTATTGATTCTTCATCGCAGGAGCGATATTACCCGATTGAGAATCGGTGCGATTCGTGGCTCTCAACCACTCCTCACCTCGGAGCACGCACACAGCATCGCTCCCACGTGACCGCAGTCACCCAAGGACACCAAGTCCTCCACAGGCTCGTCAACACGTGA